GCCCTACATGCTTCAGCTGTAGGCCTGGGCAGTGGAAAAGAGAGTGAGGAGTGTGATGACCGAAGGAAACAGAATCACTGCTCCATGGCCAGGGGAGAAGTGAGGCCAGAGCCTGTGTGTGTAGTATAATAGACTGTCTAAGTGCTGAGATGCTAAGGTGGCTTGAAGCAGAGGAGTGATCCAAGTGGTGTGGGGTTTATCAGGAAAAGTTTCCTGGAAGGGGATCAGAATAGATCCAATCCTCGGATACTGTGAAGGCAAGTATTCCTTCATAGAACACAGAACACAAGACATAGGAGAACATCCACTCACAGGAGTTATTGACTTCCTAGGGAAGGGGCTTCTGGAAAAGTTGCTGAGGTCTTGTCCTACGGTGAATTCAGTGTATGTGCTGACCAGACAGAAAGCTGGACAGACACTGCAAAAGCAAGTGGGGAAAGTGGTTAGTGGCAAGATTTTCGACAGATTTAGAGATAAAAATCCAGATTTTAGAGAGAAAATTATAGCAATCAACATGAACCCACCCCAAACTTAAACGGGCTCTTAGTGAAGAAGATAAAGAGGTCATCAGAGTTTCTACCAATTTTATATTACATTGTGCAGCTTCAGTGAGGTTTAATGAATGTTTAAGAGATGCTGTTGAGTTACATGTGATCTTTACACGGCAGTTTGTTCTCCTTGAACAACAAACGGTGAATCTGGAAGTGCTCATACAGATATCAACAGCATATGCATACTACAATGGAAAGCATCATGATGATTGATCGACTGATTCTTCAGCCAGGATGGAAAGTGATATCAGGGTAACACTGATGGAAGACAGACCTAATAAAGGTCAATGATTAAGTCCACAAACTCATCCTATCACTGTGATAATGTGGGAAGTACTCTCCTTGCCCATGTGTGACCATAGTGATATTCAGCAGTGAGGTATATAGCACTTTTGCAGGATGAGTTTGTGAACTTAATTGTCAAACCTTGTACATACACTGTCCATGAAAGTGAGGGCAGAATATATTGTACAAGAAGGAGCAGAGGTAAATGTGGCAACTGTAAGGCCATTGATTGTTGGTGCCTGCTGGAAAGAACTGTTTCCAGGAAGGATTGATGACATTAATGGGCCAAGGGTTTCTTTATTTTCTTTATTACAGCAAGGAAAAAAATTCTTGGAGCAATGTCTGCCTCTGACAACACCTTTGCAAGGTCTTGTTCCTCTAGATGTAGTTGTCAAATGAGTCTTGTGGCAGTCTGGAATCTCTAGCTTGTGGGTGGAAATATGGGTACTTAAGGAAAGAGTGATATCTTGATGTGCTTGCATTGCTAGAACTAGTGATTTAATAAGCATAAGTAGGTTAGGAATTGAATTAAGAAAATTATTTCCGATGATGGGCAAAAAGGAACAGAGACAGGAGAGAAGTGGATCAGAGAAACCCAAAACCTGTTGCAAAATGTGACAGCCTGAAAGTCTGGCCCTTTAAGATGAGGAGACTGTCTTGCTGGAGCTTACCCTCTCAGGGAGAGTGATGCTTTCTGGGAGTTAGGGAATGCAAAACACCCTGGAGACAGGACTAGATCTAAACTGCATTAAGAGAGAAAAAGTCTCTCAGGAAAAGATAAGGAGAAAAATATCTCCTTTCTTTTGTCTTCTTCGTATGGGCAGAAGTGCCAGCTCAACTGAGCACAAGCCTTCCCCGGGGGTTAATTGTGACTCCTGAGATTTCTGTGCATGGTCTAAACGGGGTCTGCTTTGACATCCTACTCCTGGATTGTGTTTCCTATCCCACACTGTGTTTGTGTTAAGATCATAAACAACTTAGGTTAATAACAGTAAGACATAAATCAGTCTAATTAATGTACTTAGTTAAAGAAATATTTTGGTTAAAAAAGGTGAGCCCAGCAAGAACCATGATGTAAGGGTTTCTCCTCCCCCCCTTTAATGTACATAATAAAAACAGAGTTAGTCCCGAGTGAGGGGCTTTCCACTAGTCCTCCCACTTGAAGGTTGTCAGTCACCCCAACTCAACTCTTTTAAAAAACTTTCTCTTTGTGTCTTGACTATTCATTTCCCCTCATCCTCTTGTCTCTGCCAGTCACTGGAAGAGAACTCACAGTATAGTTTGGGGCTGGTCCCCAATACTAGGTAATTGACTAGGGAACATCATAGTGTCTGAAACAGGCTTCACTAATCCTTTCACTGGGGTTAAGCTGAATACCATGTTATTTCCCTTTTGAGAGGAATCCTCTCAGACAGGCCTCAGATAGCCCAGTCTAACCTTCGATCACTTTTATTGTTACTAGCTTGCTGTAAGGTAGAAGGTCCCAGCATTTCTGTATGATATATACCTTAAGATAGCTGGAAGAAGCCATGTGCAACCTTGATTGGAATGTTCAGGATTTAAACATTTATGTTGAAGATATTGACTTTATAACTTCCATCAACTGCTCAGAAAATGAAAGATGAGGAAGATAGCAACTCATCTTTCCAAAGCTATGGTGTTTGAACTTAGGATGGAATGGAATTGGTCGTTATTAGTGACTTGTGTTTTCTTCCTCATTAGATTTCAAAGTAAATGAAATCAGTTGGGGTGTGTGCCATATTTCTCTTTGGATCTCCACCATAGAAGGATGATCTAACATATAGACATCTTCAAAGAACTGTTGTCCAAATGGCAGAAATAAAAAATGTGGTATCTAATCTCAGGTCTTCTATGTCCTTTTTGTGTGATTTTAGGCAAGCAATTGTTGGTGTAGCTCAATTATTTTGCCTAAAATATAGATAAGCACCATCACCTGTGATGTGTACGAGGTCTTGCATACGCACAGTCCTCCTGGCTTTATAACTTCTGACTTTCCCATCCTTTCTTGCTGTCTTCTCAGTGCCCCAACCCCAATTTTCACACTCATTTACTAACTCTCTTTCCTTTCCATTGTAACAGTGACAATGTCAGAGGGAAATATATCTACAATAGTCAGGGAATAAGGTTGTAGTCATAGAGGCTGGAAGTGGAGAGTGTTTAAGGTGAGAATGTAATTGGCATTTGCGTAGGACCAAGCAAGCCAAAAGAAAGTCTGTTGTGTGAATCCTAGTTCAGGTTGTGTTTGTGGAGTCAGGGTTCAGGAGAAAGTGACCTTTGGGGCACCTTGGAAGATGATCCAACCCTGTTACTAAGTTGTTTATCTGTACTGTTCTCACTTATCAAGCTGTAAGTTTCAGATACCCTATTTGTTATCTCAACACCTTTCAGTGTTCTCTTCTAGAAATTGACTGAGTTACCGGGAAGAGGGACAAATGCTGGTTTGCGTTCTGTGCTTGAAAAGGCAGGAGATTGTAGAAAGGGACTAGATCTACACTTGTCCACGATTGGTCAATACCACACTGAGGGGCGGGATAGAAGGCAGGCGAGTGTTCAGCCGCTTTATATCTGTTGCTCAGCATGGGGTTTTGGTGAAGGGACTGGAACACCTCAGAGGACGATTCCTGGATCTTGTATGAGAGTGAGACACAGGATTTTCTGGTAATTCAGCAAGAGCATTCAGAACTGATTCTGACCCCCCAGATCTTTTTTCTCTAAGGAACTGGTAGGTAACAAAACATGTATGTGCTCAGTTTGAGAGTGAGGGAACATTGATGGCAGGGAGGCGGGATTGGTTTGTTGACCGTCTTCACCACTCAGGTTAAGGTAGAGCTAAAGAAATACTTTAGATACTACCTGTGTGGCAAAAATTCTATAATTGTCATGCCTTTCCTTAGTGCCTCCCCCTACCTTAGCTGAAAATGCATGCATCAGAACATGTGTTATGGAATATCACTATAGAATATATGAGGTTTAGTGTGTTTCAATCCTATGTTTTTCTAATGCTTATTTTCAGATCTCTCCCTGCCCAGATCTCCACTTCTTATTCCTTACATTCCAGGGAAAGTTAAACTTGGAGCGAGGAGGCCCACTCTGCATACTAGTTCTGCTATAACTGGCAGTGGGATTTCTATAGTCTGGGAGTCTTTTTCATTTTTATTTTGTCTTTATTGTAAAGTAGGAATTCTAATAATCTCCTCTTGCATTTGTGAAGAAAACTAAGACATGTCAGGATACATAGATAAAAATAATGTTATGAATCGTAATGTAAATATCTGATATGCAGGATGTATTTTCATTGTTACAAAGGGGTCAGGACCCACAGGTTGAGAACCGCTGTGTCTTCCTTCTTTCTTTCAGATCCTTTGTTTGCTCACAGTCATGGGTCAACATTCTTCTGCTGCATCTCATGATGACCAAGATTTAGCCTCTAGCTGTAATGCATATTTTAAGAACTTTAAGATGGAAAACAAAATCATCTCTCAGGAAACCATTGATTTGATGGAATTACACTTGAAAAAAGGAGACATTCAGGGGGCAAACTCTGTAATCAATGATGCATTAAAAGAAATTGATAATGTCCCACTCAGTATTGCTGTGATAGGTGAGTGTGGAGTAGGAAAGTCCAGTCTGATCAATGCTCTGAGAGGGGTTGGAAATGGAGACCAAGATCTGGCTCCCACTGGGGTGGTGGGAACCACCAGGGAGAGATCTCCATACAAACACCCCAAATTTCCCAACGTGACATTCTGGGACTTGCCTGCCATTGGTACCAGTAATTACCAGCAAAAAGATTATCTAGAAAAAGTAAAATTTGGTGAATATGACTTCTTTATTATTGTTTCTGCTGTATGCTTCAAGAAAAATGATATAGACCTGGCCCAAATGATCCAGATTATGAAGAAGAATTTCTACTTTGTGAGAACCAAGGTGGACTTGGACTTAGAAGCTGAACAGGTGTTTAAAAAAACTGCCTTTGATAGGGAAAAAGTCCTGCAGCAGATCCGAAATGACTATCTGAATATTTTTAAGCAGAATAAGATTAATGAACCACCAATCTTCTTAATCTCCAACAGAGATTTATCAGAGTATGATTTCCCAATCCTGATTGACACCCTGATCAAGGATCTCCCTATTCAAAAGCACCATATTTTTATGCTTTCCCTGCCCAATGTTACTGAGGCAGCCATTGAAAGTAAGAGGGATTCTCTGAAGCAAATGATCTGGCTAGACGCCCTGAAGGCTGGAGCATTGGCTCCATTGCGTATGGTGGGCATCACCAGCAACAGAGATGTGGAGAAGCTAAAGACAAGCTTAAACCAATATCGAGTCCTTTTTGGAGTGGATGATGCATCCCTGGAGCGTTTGGCTAAGGATTTGCAAGTGCCCGTGAAACAACTCAAGGCAACCCTTAAATCTCCAAGTTTACTGCAAAATAAGAAGGAAGAATCAATAGGGGAAATGCTTTTGAAATATTTAGAGAGAGTCTGTTCAGCTGATGGTTTCCTTGCTTCAGGTATTTCCTTTGGAAAAACCTACTACTTGCAACTTCATTTCCTTAATACGGTCACTGAGGATGCCAAAGTTCTCCTTAAAGAGACATTCAAGAAACGAGTTGAGAGTGGCACCTGTGGCTCAAAGGAGTAAGGTACCACCCCCCTATACCTGAGGTGGTGGGTTCAAACCTGGCCCTGGCCAAAAACTGCAAAAAAGAAAAAGAAACAAATTGATATCCAATGAGACTAAAATACTCTGGATGTTGAAATCCAAATTTATGAAGGAAAAGTAGCACAGCAGATGTCCTAAATGATATACTGAGTTTATTGAAGCTGTCTAGCCTTCAGCTAATACTTACAGGTTACATGTGCCTGTTAGCTGGACCAAGGGAACCTTTGTATAGGCCCCCATAGGCAGAGAGCTAAAGGCCACTCACCCACTTTCAGTAAACCACCACATCTGATGATTTTGCTTTTGTCATAAATTTAATACAGCTGCCAACTTGGCCTTCATTGTTAGGCTTTACACAAGTTGTCTAAAACCCAGTTGTCCCCTGTTATCTTCAGCCTAGTTAAAACTTCCTCTCCCTGTGTGGTTGCTTCTGATATAACCTTCTTTTTTCCTCATCTCACTGACCCAAGCCCAGCATCCTCCATAGCTGCTGTCCACAATAAAACCTAATGGTGAACACTGGAGTCATGTAAATAAGTTCCCCTCTTCTTACCCTGCCCCATTTTTTCTTTAAAGTAGCAAATCCACAAACCCATGGGAAAGTCTCAGCTATAATGCCCATGGACCTTTATAAAAGCAGAGTGCACAGGCTCTTTCTCTCTCTTGTTCCTGCCTGCTGGCTGAATCCCTGCCACCTAGGTACTTCCCATCGTCCTCCTATCTGCAATCTTACCCTCTCTGAGACCTGTGAGTAATCAATTTCTTCAGTTTCATGCATGTTGGATTGATCTCTTCATTGCATCTTATCTGAAACACACACCTAAAACTAATCAGGGTGGTTCTAGAGAATATCTATCTTGGCTTACAGCCACTCTCAACAGAGAGATCTCAGAGAAAGTAGAGATAATAATTGAAATCAAAACAACTTTGATAAATGATTAACCAATTCCTATGAATCCTACAAGTGAATGTACTCAATATTTTGGGTTGGATCCTGGAACAGGTAAAGGACATTTCTAGAAAACTGATTAAATCTGAATAAAGTCTCTAGTTAATCATTTTGTACCAATGTCAATTTCTTACTTTTGAGACGTATATTATGGTTATGTAAGATTATATTATTCAGTCAAGCTGAGTGAAGGCTATGTAGCAATTCTGGACAATCTTGGCAATTCTTCTGTAAATCTTAACTTATCTAAAAGTCAAAAGTTGAAAAATCAAATACTTTGTCTTACACAGTATAATGACCAAATTCCTTACATGACCTAGCAGAGCCCATGTAATCCATCTCTGACCTCTCCCCACTATCTTTCCAATCCAGACCACTGATTTCCCTGCCTTTCCTCAACCATTACATGTTAAAATTCCAGAGCCTTTTAAAGTTCTCTTTATTCCACCTGGAATGTTTTCACAGCTACCATGATTGAATCTCTACTTCCTTTAAGTATTCACTTAACAATTCCATATGAATTAACATTGAGGATTGCCTTTTCCATGTCTGGGGAAAGAAAGACTATTGAAATTTTGATAGGGATTGTATTGAATGTATAATTTGCTTTGAATAATAATGACATCCAAACAAAATTAAACGTTTGAATTCATGAATATGAGATGTCTTTCCATTTATTTAGGTCTTTCTTTAATTTCTTTAACCCATGTTCTTTAATTTTCTGTGTACATATCTCACCTCCTTAGTTTAATTTATTCCTGTATGTTTTACTCTTGTGGATCTAATAAATTCTAATAAAATAATAAATTCTAGTATGAAGCCAGTAGACAAATACATCTCCACACAAGTAAACTCAAGGAAGAGGGTGGGAAAGAGAGGGCAGGAGGGTGAGGGAATGGTGTGCTCTCAATTAACAGGCACAATGTAGGGGTTTATGGCATACCTCCTGGGTGAGGGACACAATTACAACTTGTGAAAAACCTTGGGGTTATGAAAAAATTAACTCAGACCCACTCAGATGCTATTAATTGGTGATTTATTCACACCTGCACAGGGGGCTGTTGTTCTGAGACAAGCGGCTCTGAAGTGCAGAGTTTTTTGTCTTTTATACCTTTTTTTCTCTGCATAGCTTAAGCAAGGCGGAGGAACATTGCCATTGGCAGAGTTACAGCTTGGTTGTTAATGGATACATCTCATATCACAATGGTTATGATTATATAACAATAATTGATCAATGGATACATCTTAAATCACAATGGTTATGGTTATACAACAGTAATTAATCAAGCCTCAGTGAGTTTTCCACCATTGTTCATCTACTGAGAACTTGGGGGTTTTGTGAAACTTGGGACTTTCTGAGCCTCTTTGAATTCTGGAGAGCACGGGAATGTGGCTGGGAAGGCCCGCAGGGTGGAAGGGTGGGGGAACAGGAGGGGGCAGGAGGTTGCTGTAGGGCTGTCGAATGGGAGAGGGCGGGGGAACAGGAGCTCTCCCATAGAGTGGGGGAATGGGAGAAGTCAGGGGGAACCAGAGGGAACAGGAGCTCACAACACTTGTACTTTACCTAAAAACCGCAATCAATGTAACCTAATTGTCTGTACCCTCACATTAATCTGAAATATAAACAAATAGAGTCTTTACCAATGTAAATCCCTTTACATTGGAGATTTTAATTCATTTATGCTTAAGTTAAATACTGGTAATGAAGGACTTCTGCCGTTTTACTTTTTCTTTCTCTATATATTATACTCTTCTTCCCAAGTCCTCTACTACTATCTTCTTTTGTATTTATTTCCTTTTTTAGTGGAACATTTTGATTCCCAATAAATACAAAGAGAAAAAAAGAAAAGAAGGTCCCTTTCCCCCTCACTGCAGATTAGCTTGGTGCTGGGGGCAATTCTTTAGTGCTTAAGCAGACTGTTTAAAATTCTGCTTTAGCCTTCACTATTTGCAATGACCTAGCTTTCAATGAGAAATAAAAGCTGAGAGTTTTCCCAGGACTTTTTTCTGAGCATATGTCTTGCCCTGAGCATGCACACAACTTTATAAATTTATAATACAGACAGGTGCTTTGAATGCCCCAATTTCCTAAAGAAATTAAAAAAATCAGGGGAGAGAAATTAAAGAATTCAAAGTGCTTTATTTTAAATGCTCTACTGCTTTCCTCAATTGTTATCTTTTACACTAGGTAAATGTAGATTATTCACTTGTGTTATAATGTTTTTGAGGAATATCTGCTGCTTTTGTACTTTGTTGCCTTTTTCATTAATCAGCATTTATTTGGTTGCTTTTAATATTTGACTGTTTTATAAAGTTCTAAAAATGTTGATTCTGACAGTATTTACTTGATTTTTCTTACTTTCTAATATATTTAGTACTTGAGCACATCTTCAGTTGCATTTTACAAATTTAATATGCTGTATTTTTATCATTTGTCAGTGTGAAATATTTTATAATTTTTATTGAAATTTCCTTTTGGAGGTAGTTTGCAGTATATTGCGTAATTTCCAACTTAGGGGCATCTTTCCCACAATTTTTCTAGTAGTGATTTCTATTTAAACTCCAATCAGAAATTCTTCTGAGTCTTTCATTTTTGCCCATCATGTGGTCTATTAAGATTTAAGTTGCATGCAAACTTGAAAGGAATATGCATTCGTCAGGTTGGGGGTGTGGTGTTCTGTACAAGCTAATTAAAATAAGTCCATTAATCATGTTGTTCAAGCCTTGTATATTTTTATGCTACTTCTATTTATTATCTGTGCTTCCCCCAATCCCCCCCTCCATGGAACTGGGTGAGGGTTCCATTCTCCTGAGGAGCTCTGAACAAAAAATTCTCCTGCCTCTTTATGAATCATGGGCTGAGAGGAGAGAAGGAGAGAAAGGTTTAGGAATAAAGTTGACTGAGTCAAAAGTAGAACAATGCCTTACCTAAGGCCATCAACAAACAGGCTACTGAATGGAGCTGTCTGGACTAGAAATGCAGATGTGAATATGTGCATAGTATGTATATAACTGACTCAGGTGGGCCTTGATACAATTCCTTTCAGGAAACTACAACACACTGGCTCTGCACCAGAGAGATGTGGGGACAATAGCTCCCCCTCTGTGCAGCCTATATAATAGCCTATGATAAGTGTTGAATGAAATCTGACAGCTAACAAGAAAGAAATATTACTGACCACTTTCTTATGAACATATATACATATATTTTAAATCAAATATCAGGCCGGGCAGGGTGGCTCATGCCTGTAATCCTAGGATTCTGGGAGGTGGAAGTGTGTGGATCGCCTGAGTTCAGGAGTTTGAGACTAGCCTGAACACTAGGACGCTCTGGAACATAGTGAAACTCTCTCTCAAAATCAGTCAATCAATCGATCAATCAAATTTCAGACAAATCCTATGAATATAAAAATAATGTGATTTTTCTTACCTTAGAGCTAAGCATTCTGCCTCTATTCTGGTTCTCGGTGTGCCTATTGCATGATTGGAGTCTAATCAGAGGTTCGAGTAACCTTAGCTGCCATAGACATGATAGAAGATGTCTCTAGCTATAGATAAATAGATATAATACTAGTCTGGATAGCTTTAGGATTTAGAATCTAACCACAAGAATAGTCAGTAAAAAGTACAAAGATGTGTAAAGGATTATTCCCATCCCACTTTCGGGGATTGGGAAGTTTTACTTTTTTTTTTTTCTTGCATACAAAGCCAACTCACCTGCTGACACAGATACCAGCAGAGCAAGCCTGCCATGGGCCCTGCTAGACAGCTCACTCAGACTATTTGGGCAGTCTGGTGAAGGGCTTTCCCTGATGAAGCCAACCTGTAAAGCTTGGAATGGGTGCCGCCTCCTCCAAATGCACAGACACTAATACAAATCCACAAGGAAATTAGAACCAATTAGAGGAACATGACACCACCAAATATCCAAAATAAAATACCAGTAACCAACCCTAAAAAGATGACAATTTGTGAATTTCCTGACAAAGGATTCAAAATAGTTATCTTTTTTTTTTTCTGAGACAGAGTT